ATGAGAGGGAGAATGAGAGGGAGAATGAGAGGGAGAATGAGAGGGAGAATGAGAGGGAGAATGAGAGGGAGAATGAGAGGGAGAATGAGAGGGAGGGAGGACGTGTTTTAATTGTAGGTAGATGGTGCGTGTGGTGACGTGTTTAATTGTATACCAGGTGGTGCTAATGCCCACTTTTGGTGTTCTCAATTGTCATCTGTTTTTGAAAAGTTTAATTATAGGAAACATCACTTCTCTGAGAGTAATGAAGATTCAAGTTCAAGCACCAGTGAACGATCTTGGACCCAGAATTACAAACGGAAATCCCTACGAACATATTCCCACGGGAGGAAGCCAAGAGTCAGGTCTCTAAGGAGTAAGCTAGTTTGCTTATGTTCTTGTGGGCTACTTCTCAGTTAAGTCAGTGGGTACTTATGCTTCAGTATGTGATGGGGAAGCGGGGGAGGAAGGTACCAGGGACATATGTGGCCTTGGGGACATCCTTTCCTGTAACACCTGCAAAGGTAGAATGTTTGCTCATGAAATACAGTGTGGGGTCAGCCTACAGTTGAAATATGAGGTATGGAAAAACAGTGGGCAACCAGGCAGGAGGAATCTGGCATAAGCTGGAACCATCTTCTGTAAGAAGTGGGTAGGTCTTGAGCCAACTCTTGGGAAACAGGATTTGAAGAACTGAGAAGTGGAGTCATTTGTTCAGTGAAACCAAAGTATGAGGGTGATGGCCAGGGCAGGGGTCAAGGTGAATGAGGCTGATTGACTAGAAAAGGCTCCAGATTGCCTCCATTAGCTGAAACTCATAGTGTACTCACGTATGACTGGGGGTGGGTGTGTCTACATCTTATAAGGAGACATGCCCACCGTGTGCTCACTTTCACTTTTCAGTCCTACCACTTTCCCCTGTCAGTGGTGGCAGAGGTGGGGAGAAATATCAGGTAAGAGCACCTCATTGGTTGCCTTGTGGGTCTAACTGTATCACTTTCTTTAGAACTGTGAGAATAACAACCCAGGGGTCTCCTGGTACGTAGTCTAATATAAAGATCATGGATGTCTAAATATTTGGTATGCTTCTCAGATAGATTTAGGGTCTTTTCTGGTCATCCTGAATGGTGCTAAAGGATCTTTACTTAAACACCTTTGTTGTCTTGATTTCCCACAAATGCATGCTCTTGAATTTCCACTTCAAAATGAACATGTCAATGTAATTCTACTTTACTTTTCAGTTTTCTGAGATGATTTTAAAATCATGTTCAAAGATTTTTAACAATTTCAGCATTTGCACCTGAAGGTTGAAACACCTTCAGGTTCATATGATTTTTATCCGTAAAGTTATAAAATTCCCAATTTCTCTTCCTTTATCCTTGTTTTATATCAAAGGACTTAGGAATATGAACACCAGTGCCCTGCAAAGGAAGTGGTTCACCTTATTAGCTGGATGACTTCCTTCCCTTAGCAGTTGTTTTTTGTTTCTTGTCAAATCACACACACACACACACACACACACACACACACACACACACACACACACACACACTACAGCACTTCATCATAGTTTAATAAAGAGTAGCTGCTGGGATGCCGAGGATACTTCCCTGCGTTTGCAGAAATAGGACGCCATTAGTACTCCAGCCCAACTCCACCTGTTTTATTCTTTAAACAAGAAAATAGACTAAACCTATGAGTCAGGGTAAGTACACTTGTCCCTTGGTGTCTGGGGCGGCTGGTTCCAGTACTCTGCTTGGATACCAAAATATGTAGATGATCATGTACTTCCTAAAGCAGTACAGTATTTACTTATGATGACCTGTGCCTCCTTCTTGTAGACTTGAAATCACCATTCCCAATGCAATGTAATGCTTCGCACATAGTTGCTGTGCTGTATTATTTAAAGGGTAATAACCAGAAAATGGTCCATTTATATTTGGTATAGTCATATCATTTTCCTGAATATTTTTGATTCATGGTTTGTTGAATTTGTGGATGGGAAAAAAAATCTGTGGATATGGACAGCTGTCTTTAATTTTTTGTTGAATAGTTCAGCCTAGAATGAGGAGTTATTAATTATAAAGGGGCCAAAAGAAGATAATTCAAGTAAAGACAACTTTGGTTTTAATTAAGCTCAAAGAAGCACCACAGACTCACACCTGATAAATTTAAACTATGAAATGAGCAAAACATCTATGCTGGTTTTTCAGTGAGGATGTCAGGCTGGTATTCCACTCTCTGTGTCAGATTACAAGGAAGTAATTTGAGACAAGGGTTAGAAAATATTTTCTGGTGGGCTGCACAGATGGCTCAGAGGTTAAGAGCACCGACTGCTCTTCCAGAGGTCCTGAGTTCAATTCCCAGCACCCACATGGTGGCTCACAGCCATCTGTAATGAGATCTGGCGCCCTCTTCTGTATACATAATAAATAAATAAATCTTTAAAGAAAAAAGAAAATATTTTCTGTTAAGGGGAAGAGAAGATTGTGTTCTTTGAACCATAGATGCACACGACAGAGCTTACCATCTCTGCCTGCCTAGTCAGAAAACTGCCTTAGATTGGAAGTGAATGGGCCTCCTGTGCACTTATTTATAGGAACTAGCAGCTTGTCAACCCCCACTTAAAGCCAGCAGAGTGACCAGGATGGCTTGGGAGGTGCTGGGCCCTGCCCCAAGCTTCTGATTGAGCGACTTGTAGGTGAGAGTTGAAGATGTGCATTTTGTTGAATTCCTCTGTTGCTGGTTGTCTGACCTGGACCACACCTTTAGGACCACTAGGCTGGAGATGTTAGTTAAGATTTTACTTCAGTGTTCTTCCAGTTGGAGGATGTTAGAGTGTTAGTGTTTGTTATTGTTTGATGCCGCAAATCCAATACTCAGTCTTCTTAAAGGAGGTTGAAAATATCATGGGAGTTTTTTATTGTTGTTTTTGAGTGTTACAAATATTAGCATTTAACAAGACTATTATATTTTAGGCTGAGCTAACACCAGTTTGGAAAGGCATCTCCAGGCAAAATGATACCATTCTTCCAAACTTTTCTGAAACCAAACTACAAAGCACTTCTGTGATTTTAACTCCTGAGGCATCTACACAAAAAATAGGTACTTGATTTTCAGTTAGTTTATACTATAGAAATTGTATTTGGGGATAATTGTCTAAAAGAAAATGATTTTTTACTCTGTAAAATTATCTGAGCATTTGTGGTGTGTGTGTGTGTGTGTGTGTGTGTGTGTGTGTGTGTGTGTGTGTGTGTGTATGACAGTATCCATGTGGCGCTCAGAGGACAACTTGCAGGAATTGGCTTCCTCCTTCCACGTGGGTTGGGGGACTGAACTCAAGTCCTCAGTCAGACAGAAAGGATCTTCACCCATTAAGCTCTGTCCCCGGCTCAATCTGAACAAGTGATGGTGTGACCATTTTTCCATTTGCTGTTTCCATTAGCGGAGGGAGGAAGAGGCTGTGTTTTGACTTTGCTTTGTTACTTGAGCTCGGCTTGTACCTGAGAATCTGGGGCTCCTCTTACAGGCAGGGGAACTCACATGGCGCCCAGCAGGAAGGGTCACTGCAGCCTTAAGGACTGGTAGTAAACGATTTTTCTTTTGGACCCTCCTGGTTTCTGTGTCAGCCGCTCAACTCTACAGTCACAGAACAAAAACAGCCACAGATAAGAAGCAGTAATCAATCAGGCTTCCCAATGAGGAGAGGCATGGGCCTCAATGGATTCATGAATGAATTGTACCTAATTTAAAGAATTTATTTAAAGAATTCACAACAGAGTTTTGCAAACTCCAAAAACCAAAGAGGATGTAACATTCTGAAATACGTCTCATTATAAGAGACGTATTTATAAGAGGCCATTAGCTCTTCAGTTATCCAAGCTAGACAGGGGAATGGGTAGGGGGAGGGAGGAGTTACACGTGAATATCCCTAGAAAACAGAGATGCTATACTCCACTAGTGTGCTGGCTAGTTTTTCACGGCAACTTGACATAGGCTAGGGTCACGTGGGAAGAGGGACCTCAACTGAGAAAATGTCTCCATCAGATTGTCTGTAGGACCTTTTCTTGGTTAATGATTGGGAGAGGGCCCCAGTTCACTGGGGGCAGTATCAACCCGGGCAGGTGGTCCCGAATAGTGTGACAAAGTAGGGTCAACAAACCATGAGGAACAAACCATGCAGTGTTCCTCCATTGCCCCTGCTTCAGTTCCTGTCTCCAGGTTCCTGCCTCGAGTTTCTGCCCTGATTTCCTTCCTGCCTTGACGTCCTTTGATAATGCACTGTGATGTGAAAATCCTGGTTAAGCCCCCTTCCCCCTCCAAGTTGCTTTTGGTCATGGTGTTGTATTACAGCAATAGAAACATGAAGACAAGTTGTAAACCGACTCTGGCAGCACATTAAAAGCTTTGTGCACCATTATCAAGTGGGATTTTTCCCTGGAATGCAAGGATGGTTCAACTTATGAAAATTGATAATGGCATTCATCACAAGAACAAAATGAGGAATAAAAGTCATAATTTCAATAGACTCAGAAGAATATTAGAGAAAGTCTACATTCTTTCATGATAAAAACACTCAAAAATTAAATATATATAGAACATACCTCAGCATATCAAAGGCTATGCATTAAAAGCTTACATCTCATGTCATATTAAAGGGTGAAAAGGTTTTATCAAAAATTTAGAAGAAGTTAGCAAGGTGTCCACTCCACCATTCAATTCAGTACCATCCTAGAAGCCCTTCCCAGAGCAATCACAAGACAGAAATAAGGAATGATTGAAGATCTCATTTGATAAAACGAGAAGTCCCAAATATGTTACCCTAAACTGTTAAAACTAATAACCAGTTCATTAAAACTAGACAAATCCAAACCAATATATAAAAATTAATTGTGCCTTTCCCTGGTGACTCACTGATTCAAGCTGTCTGAACAAAGAAGCTCAGAGCAGAACCTAGCTCCTCCACAGAGAAGACAGGAAGTGACAGGTACCCTGCACTATCGGAGGTGAGCGCCAAGGCAGAGGGGAAAGACTGCCCCTGGCCTAGGAGATCTGGGTGTTCGCTCTCTAGGATAGAGGGTGTTACCAGATGATGTATATGGGCTTGTGCCAAGGCAGTAAAATGGTTCCTGTTCACTCTCCCTCAACCCGCGCTGAGCCCAGGCACCTGCTGCCGGCAGGGTATAGAGAAGGCACCCAGGTTCTCCTGCCATGTCTACAGTGACTTGAGGAGTCTTGAGTAACTCCCTTGATTCCGGCTAAAAACCCTGTGCCTGGATGGCTATGCATAAAGGGCCATCCAAAGGAGCTTTGCCTGTCTCTGGCTGTGGTCTCACCACTGGGCATGTAGTCTCAAGGAAGGAATAACGCCAATGTTTCTGCTACTTATTCCCATCAACACAGATTCTGCTGCCGGACCTAGTGTGAGCGCCAGAGGGAGAGCCCCGCATGCAGTTCATGCCATCACCTGTCTCCATTACCACCTCGACCCACACCACTGACTGTTAATGATGCACCCCTCATGGTTTTTATTTAATGGACTATCTTCATTTCAAGCATTTCTGTTTTTCAAAGTTTCAATCTCTGTGCTAAATTTTCTTCTGTTTTGGATATTGATCTCCAACTCATTAACTGTTAGAATCACTTTGGAGACTGTCTTGCCAAGGTCTTGGATTGGATAGATTTCCTTCATCTGATTGGCTCTTCTACACGATCATTCTTTTAAAAAAGTGTAAAACTCTGAATTCTTTCTCAGACATGCAGCTGTTTCAGTAGTTTTGGACTCCCATATAGGTTTCTTGAGTGGGGATGGCTCATGGTGGGGGGGTGGTTATGCCATATTCTTAACAACAGACTTTTTGAAGGAACACTAACTCGTCAGTTAGGAGAAAAGATTTAAATGCATTGAAATAAATGAAAGTAGAAATACAAATATAGTGAAACTTGTAAAATGCAGCAGAAGTGTAGGGGCCGGAGAAATGGCTCGGCAGTTAAAAACACACTTGCTGTTCTTGCCTAGGACCCAGGTTTGTTTCCAGCACCACATAGTGGCTCACAGCCATCCTTAATTTCTATTTCAGGACATCTGGCGCCCTCTTCTGGCCTCTGTGGGAATCAGGCATGCACACAGTACATACACATATATGCCATCAGCATGTGCATACACACACACACACACACACACACACACACACACACACACACACACACACACCTTTTTAAAAAAGGAGTGAACCTATAGCAATTAGTGTCTGTTTTTTTAAAAAAAAATATTTAGGGACTGGAGAGATGGCTCAGAGGTTAAGAGCACTGACTGCTCTTCCAGAGGTCCTGAGTTCAATTCCCAGCAACCACATGGTGGCTCACAACCATCTGTAATGAGATCTGGTGCCCTCTTCTGGCCTGCTGTCATATATGCTGTATACATAATAAAATAAATATTTAAAATAGTCTAAATGTATCTCAAAGAATGTAAAAAACCAAACTCACAATGGATAGTGAAAAAATAATAAAAATTAGAGCAGAGATCATCAAAATGGGAATAAAAAAGTAAGTCAGTGAAAGTTATACTCTAAAAAGATAAAACAGTTGGCTACACTATCAACAGCAGAAGGTGACTCACATGTAATTGGTAATGATGAGGAAATTGTAACAATACTGCAGAAATACAGATTATTACAGATAATTATAAAAAAAAACTATACCAACAAATTAGAGGCTTAAAAGAAATGGAAAAATCTCTGGGCACACATTCTGCCAAAACTGATCCATGAGGATATAAAATACCCTAACAAGCAATGAGATGGAGCAATAATAAAGTTTCCCTTCAAATAAAAGCCCAGGAACTGGATACCTATATTGCTGAATTTTTACAAAAATTTTTAAAGAATAACGAAAATCCTCAAAGTATTCCATAAAGCTAAACATAGAAAACATTATTTCTAAGTCCTTAAAAATATGTGTGCCCACGTGCATGTGTGTGTGCACATGCGCGCACTGGAGATTGGCATCAGTTGTCTTTCTCAATTGTTCTTTATCTTAATTTGTGTGCATGCATGCAGACCAGAGGAGAACTCTCTGGTGCCAGGCCTTATCACTCTTTTGACGTAGGGTTTCTTGACTGCTGCAGACATCGGGCTAGCTGGCCCCTGCGGTTCTGAGAGTCTACTGCATATGTGTGTCTGCCTCCTATCTTCCTATGGGCACAATGAGGTTACAGATGTTTGTGCTACTACATCTGCCTTTTATGTGGTGTCTAGGAATCCAGACTTGGGTCTCCAGGCTTGCGTGACAAGTACTTGACCTCACCGAGCCACCACCGTGACCTAACTGTCATTAATGACAGCCTTGCCCTGTTACCAAAACGTGACAAGGACACAACCAACCCCAGCACGAATCCCTGATGATTATATATGAATTCGTGACAACACACTAGCAAGTCAAGTTAACTCAACATATCAAGATTTTTCACCCTTATAGAGTTAATTTCATGGCCAAACATTAGGCAGAACTTGGGGACTCCTGCAGAAGAGGGAGAGGAAGGACTGTGGGAGTCGGAGGGGTTAAGGACTGTGTGAGCCCATTTTCAAGTACCTCGTGGCTTTACCCAGCAGGTCCGCATAGAGAGGATGATTAGGACCACGGGCCTGAGTGCAGGTGTCTGAGATGGTCTGCACTTGGCTGTGCTGGGGGGAGGTCTTTGGCTCCACCCCTTGGCATCTCTATAAATACCCTGGGGCAGAGACAGTCGGGACTCATTGGAAATACAGGCCCTCTCGAGGCTATCCTTTATTTTCTGTTTATCTCCACAATCTAATCTTTCTAATATTTCCTGCTGCTTGCACTCAAGAAAACTCTGGGGAACTGTAGGGGTGGTGGGTAAACACCCTGCAAAGGACATCACAAGAAAACCCACAGCATCAACTAACCTGGGCTCACAGGGGCTCCCAGAAACTGAACCGACAATCAGGGAGCCTGCATGGGTCTGACCTAGGTCCTCTGCACATACATTATGGTTGTGTACCTTGGTCTTCTTGTGGAACTCCTAACAGTGGGAGTGGAGGCTGTCTCTCTTTTGACTGTTTTGGGACCCTTTTCCTCCCACTGGGTTGCCTTATCCAGCCTTGATATGAGGGATGTGCCTAGTCTTACTGCAACTTGATATGTCATGTTTGGTTGACATCCTTGGGAGGCCTGCCCTTTCCTGGAGTGGATGGGAGTGGGGCGGGGGTTGGAGAGAGGGACTGAGAGAAGAGGAGGGAGGAGAAACTGCAGTCAGGATGTAATATATGAGAGAAGAATTAAAAACACCACTAAAAAAGTTGGTTTCATTCTAGGGATGCAAAATGTGAGAATGATTCAGTAAAAAAAAAAAAAAAAGTGTGTGATGGAATTAGCCACTAAGGAAATGAATATCAAGCCTTACTGAGTGGTGGGGACTATAGACCAGTGAGAGAGGATTGAATGGTGTATGCTGGCTTGATCTTTAGCACAGACAAAACAAATCTAACTATTACAAGGACTCAGCTTACCTAGTTATGACAACTTATTTTAAAATACTGTTGACAAGGATGTAGACAATGGGAACTCTTATATACCAAATTAGTGTAGCTGTTACAGAGACCAATTTGAGGTTCCTTACAAAACAAAGAATAGACTTACCATATGGTAAACTGCCCACTTCTGTGGCTGTAATCAAAGGGGATGCAATCAACATGCCAAAGAGGGAAACCTTCAGGATGATGCTTAAATATGAACTTTAAAAAAAGAGCTAAAACATGGGATCATCCCAGGTGCTCCTGAACAGAAATCTTCACAGGTAGCAAAAACATAGCATTTATATAAAATGTATTATTAAGCCATAGAGAGGAACAGCATCTTGCCTTTTGCATCAAAATGGGTGGAATCTGGAGGATTTATATGAGGTAAGTCAAACAGAGACCAGTACAGTGTGGCCTTTCTCATTAGTAGAAGCTAAATTCTTCTTGACCGTAGAAGCTAGACTTCTAGAAGTTGGGGAAGGTATGTGGGGTGGGGTGGGGTGGGGAAGGTTGACAAAGGATGGTTGGCTTTAATCAATGCATACTATTTTGATGTATAGAAACATCACAAAACTCCGTTAATATGTACAATTCATGTTAATTTTAAAACCTGTCCTGTCCTCTATGCTAGTAGAGAGTTATCTGAAATATGATGCAAGAAAATGATCCTATTTATAATGGGAATATAGTAGGAACAAATGGAGCAAGAAAATGAATGTTCTATATACTGAAGAAGAAGAAAACACTGACAAAAGTATTTGAAGAAGGGAATAGTACATGAAAGGCTCTCTCATCTCCTGGACTGGAAGAATTGATATTTGAAGAACATCACACCATGCAAAGTAATTTGCCGTTTATGTCCAGTCTTTGTCAAAATAGAAGAGTAAATCCTAAAAATTCTATGAAGCCTCAGAAAATCTAAAACAGCCACAGCAATCTTGGGAAGGAACAGAGTTCAGATTCATATGTCAAAACCCCCTCATTTCATTTTATATCACAGAGCCATAAAAAGTAAAGTTGGTATAAAAAGATAAAGCCCAGTTAGATCCAATACAGACACCACACATACAGTCAACTAATTTTTGCCATGGATGCAAAACTAAATGATAGGGAAAGAAAAGTGTTTAATGAGTGATATGAGCGAAACTGGATATCTACATGCAAAAGAATAGAGTAAGACCTTTGTTTTAAACCATGAAGACCTCAGAATGGATTAAATTTGCATTAGGAACTATTGCAGCATGAATTGCAATAGCCAAGTTACAGAACTAACTTAGGTGTCCATCAACAGAGGGATGGATAAAGAAAATGTGGTAGGGGCTGCAGAGATGGTTCACCAGTTAAAATCACTGCATGCTCTTGCAGAGATCCTGAGTTCAATTCTCATACCCACACTGTGGCTCACAACTATCTACAACTGTAGTTCCATGGGGTCTAATGCCCTCTTCTGGTGTGCAGACATACATGCAGACAAAACGCCCATATGCATAAAATCTTTTAAAAAAGAAAAGTGTGGTATATTTACAAAGGAATTTGATCATGAAGCATGACACCATGTCATTTTCAGGATAATGGCTGCAATGGGAGCTAATCTGATTAAACTATGAGTCTGTGACAAGACAAATGGTATTTTTATTTTTGTTTTGTGTCTGGGTGTCTTACCTGCTTATATGTATGTGTACCCTGTGTGGACCTGATCCCCATGGAGGCCAGAGGAGGGTGTTGGAATTCTTGGAACTGGAGTAAAAGATGGCTGTGAGCTGCCATATGGGTTCTGGGAATCAAACTGGGGGCCTCTGGAAGAGCAGCCAGTGCTCCTAACCATCGAATCATCTCTTCAGCCCCTAAATATATTGCCTTGTCTGTGGGTCCTAGACTTTATGGATATATAAAATCATACATACATATGACATGAAAGTAGAAGCAAGGTTGTATGTAAAGGAGACTAATAGGCAAGTGGGTATGGGGGCAATGTGCTCAAAGTATACGATAGATTTGCATGAAATGGCCTATGCAACTCTGCATTGTAAAACAAGGGAACTGTAACATTCTTGAAATAAAGCAGAGGGAAACTGTTCCTTGACATTGCTCTTGGCAATGACTTTTTAGATATGCAGAAGCAGGCAGGAGAAGTAAACAAGACTGCGTCAACGGAAAGCTTTTAACAGCTGACGGAAAGCCTGACCACTTTTGTGGTTGACAAAAAAAAAAAATGTGGTGCGCATATGATTCCATCCCATGTCTTGCCTTTTGTGGAAAAGATGAATCTAGAGGCTGTTTTACTACATGAAATGAGGCAAATGGGGAGATGCTGTTAGATGAGCTTTACCCATATGTGGAACCTAAAAATTTTCAAAATCATAGAAGCAGAAAATAAAGTAATGTTTACCATGTGGGTGAGGACACAGAGATGTGAATGCTTTCAACTCTTACATTTTAGATGAACAATTTCTGAGGTGGTGAATGATGTGTTAAATTAACTGGGATGTAATAATTAGTAAATGATGCATGGGCATATCAAGTCATCACACACAGGAAAGTGTAACGAAATAAAGGAGGTAACTTAAGTCAGAGGAGAGAGAAGCCAGGTTGGACAGAGTCCTTGTCCATCTTTTAAGTCCAGATGGGCAGCTACTGAGGCAGCTGATCAAGCCCAGGTGACTGACTATTCTTTTTATCTGTCTATGGGCATACACACCCAACAAGTATACATGCCCCGAGAGACATACAAATTTTGTTTAGGATTGTTCCTCAATTTTTAATGAGATTTGATACAGAGCACAGTCAGAGAATGTTACTTGTCTTTATTTCTTTTTTTTGTCTTTATTTCTTGTTTTACTTACTCACTGGGATTGTTTTCTCTAATATTCAGAATTTCTAAGTCCTCATTCATCAGACAGTCTGTCTTCCTTAGAGCACCCAGAAGTTGAAGAAAACATACCTCAGGTACAGTTTGCTATTCATTCAATTTTCTAGAATTCAAATTATATTTGCATGAAACAATGGCTTATTCTGTTGACAAGATGCTACAGTACCACTTTCTTGTTTTACAATTATGTATACTTGCCTATTATATATATATATGTCTGTATTTTGTGTTTCAGATTGAGAGCCGGGAATCATTCATGGAAAACAGTAGCTTCAAACACAAGCTAGAAAATTCAGAACACAGAGGTGGTTGAGTAATTCATTAAAAAAAATAGATGAAAAGTTAAATTAATCTGCATCATTTTCAGATTGTACCAGATAAAAATCATTTTGTGCATGTTTCTTTCATATGTGTTTTAAAAAGTAATGATATTCTTTGATTTCATTATCTAATTCCTCTACATTATCTTCAGGTCCCAACATTTTTTCTTCTGCTTGATCCTTTCTACCCATTAGGATTTGCTCTGAGATTTCTGATTGAGTAACTGAATTTTTCAATTCCAGCTTCACGTCCACTTGACTTTTCTTCAGTATTTCTATCTTTTTATTTCATTCAGCATACATTTGTGTTTCCTTGGGTTTCAAGCCGGAGTTTTCTCCTTTGCTCTTGAAGTTCATTCACACTTTGTTTTCTTCTTATCCTCTTTTAAACTCCTTGAATTCTTTGGTCTTTTTTTTTTTTTTTTTTTAGATTCATGTCATTGGGTTCACCTAGGTAATTCTCCTTGGCAAAGATTTCTATAGTTCTTGGTTCTGGGGAGAGTCATGTCCTGGCCTCTCACAGTTTGTGTTTTGTCATGTGACCTGGGCATGTACAACCTATTTCACTGGTTGTACAACTGACCAGCATCTGTTGAGTGGAAGTTTTGGCTATTGTCCAATACTGGTTGACTTTAGATCTGGTCTGAAGAAGTTGTAGGTCATTACTTTGGGTGCTTGGCCTTGACTTTTGACAGGAGAGTGTGGGCGGATTCCAATTCACTGGTAACCGAAAAGCAACCGCTGGGTCTGAACATAGAAAGGTTTGATATGAGGCACCAGATCTGGGGCCCACTTACTGATAGAAAAAGTGAGTTGCTCTTCCTGGTGAGTTAGGGTGTCATGCCTTCCTGTAGTCAGAAGTTTTCCTGTGTTCCAAATAAATATACAGAAGCTTTTATTAATTACCAACTATTTGGTCTAGGCTCAGGCTTATTGCTAACTAGCTATTTTATCTTAAATTAACCCATTTCTATTAATCTATGTATTGCCACATGTCTCATGGCTTTACCTGTGTTCCATTATATCTTGCTCCCCCGGGGTTCCATGGCATCTCCCCCAACTCCACCTTTCTTCTACCTGTACCTTTGCTTGGATTTCCTGCCTGGCTATAACCTGTCTTGCCATAGGCCAAGGCAGCTTCTTTATTAATTAATGGTAGCAACACATATTCACAGCATACAGAAAGACCATCCCACAGCACCTGGCTGTTATAAAAGTGAGTGCTACTAATTCTCAGCCTGGGAGTCTTGGGGTGGTGTGAGTAGGCATCTGAGGGGTTCACCATATTGCTTCATTCCTGTGCACCTCCAAATGGTCCTGTGTGGGGGTCTAGGGAACTTGCCTGTCAAGCTTTCCTTCCTGTGAGACTCCCAAAGGGCTGGAGCATAGAGGAGAGGTGGTCTGGCAGAGTCACCCAGCTGGTTTATATTCCTGCACAATTCTGGATGTGCTGGACAGAGTTGTGTGGGGTCTTCAATATTTTCTTTAGTTAATTCATCTGTTGATGAACATGTAGGCTCATTCTATAACTTGGTTATTTTGAATGGTGGCTTGAATGGATGGCCAGGTGTCTCTGTAGTATACAGATTTAGATTCCTTTGGATACAGGCCCAAGAATGGTATAGCTGTGTTGTATGGTAGATCTGTTCTTAGTGTCTTGAGGACTCTTACTTGTGTCCAGAGTGGTTGCACTAAATACATTCCCACCAACACTGGACAATAACACCACCCTATCCTTGCAGTATCTGTTGTTTGCTTGATGTCTGAGATGAGATAGAATTTCAGTGTGTTTTTTATTTGCATTTCTCTGATGACTAAAGCTGTCACATGGTTTTTTCATGTTTACTGAACATTTATGCTTAATGTTTTGAAAACCATCTACCAAATTCCTTTGTTAATTTATTGACTGGATTATTTGTATATGTTTTGGAGTTCTTTATTTTTTCTAAATACTGGTCCCCTGTTGGATATCTAGCTGGAAAAGATATTCTCTCATTCTGTAGGCCATCTCCTTGTTCTTTCAATTGTTCCCTCTGCTATGCACAAGCTTTCAGATTTTGTGAGATCCCATTCTTCAATTCTTACTATGATTTTGTAGGCAGCCGGAGTCCTTTTAGAAAGTTCTTGCCCATCCTTAGATCTCAAAGTGCTTCCCCCGTGTTTTTCTTCAGCAGTTTTGGAGTGTCAGATTTGATGGTGACATCTTTCATACATTTCAAGTTGACTTTTGTAGAGAGTGAGAATTAAGGGTCTGGTTTCACCCTTCTATATGTGTGTCCCTGTCCCCCCTAGCACAATTTGTTGAAGAGGTATAAAAGTGACCTACAGATTCAATGCAGGCTCCATCACACTTTCAGTCTCCATGGAAGTGGGCAGGGGAAAACCCTAAAGTTCATAAGGATGCACAAAAGTCCTACATCACCAAGGCATTCCAGAGAGAAAGAGCAAAGCTCAAGGTATCACAGTACCCGACTTCAAGTAATTCCACACAGTGACAAAAACAACATGGTATGACACAAACACAGAGGTCAATAGAAGGGAAGGGGACTCACAAATAAAGCCACAGCTACAGCCAGCTGGAAATATTGTTGCTGTCCACTGTTCTAGCTTTATTTGGAACACTATGTTTAGCAAGTCTGTCTGTACCTTGTGAAGCAGAGAATTCTTAAATGTGTCTAAACTCATCAAAGGGATGTCTGTAGCCAAGTCCTCCTTCAGGCATCAGTAGACATCAATGCTTTGATGTGTAGGTGGACCTTGGTCCATCCACCCAATAATAAGCTATCTAGTAGTGAGAAGGAAATGAGGGTCACTTGTGTTGCATCAAAGTTAGATATTAATTGGAAAAAAGAGGTCCAAAACCAGTGATAGTTCAATAAATAAATGACTGTGGGGGTACCTTCCCCCAAATGGGACATCCACAGCACAACTCTTACTCCTAAGACTCAGGGAACATCACAGAAGTGCAGTTGTAAATGTTTTTAAGAGCCTGAAGACTGGGACTGATACTGTGTGACAGTTTCTTCTGGACCGGACAGGGATGTGCTCCCATGAACGTGTGGTCACATGGCTGCCTGCACAAAGACCTGCAAAGACCATACCAATTGCCACACCATCGTAGATGCAGGAAAACCTCACTAGGCCCACCCTCGAGGAGGAGCTTCTGGAAGTCAATGGCTGCTGAGGGAAAGAGAAATAATTTTTTTTCCTTCAGGGATGAGACCCTAATCCCAAGGAGTCAGCCCTAAATGCATGAAAATAAATGCAATACTAATTGGACTCAGTAGGATGTTCTTATGCATGTGTGTCTGTAGAGGTTATGAGTGCAAGAGGGGGCAGGTTGGGGATACAAGAAGAGCTGGTTGGAAAGAGGGATATAGAAAGACCCAAATCAACACAGAGCAGTGCAGATACAGCGGCACGCATGTGAGATCCTCCAGGAAAAGAGGACAAGATACATTTGAAACAAAAGAAACACGCACACAAGAGTTTCATCACAGTGCTGTTTATGTTTAGAGACACCAGATGGAAGTATTGCTGCCCCAAAGCAATCAAGATTAGAAGATGCTCCAGGATCCCCCATTGTGACAGGTAACTCCATGCATTCAGCCGGCAGCTGTGGGAGGGATGATTGCTATGTCTGTTCTTAACGTACCAATGTGAATTACAAGAGCTACATTCTAAGATCACCAGGGCTACTGCAGCCTATGCGCTAAGCATCCTGTTCTTTCTGAGATGAACAAATTGTTACACAAATTGTAGATAAAAGCAAGCACCCTCCCCTTCCAGCATTCTGATGTCTGCACTGTAGCTCTCCTTTAAGATCCGCAGGTTATAAACAGACTTCTGCTTAGCTGACAGTTACTACATTTGTGCGCATACACAATTTATAGAGAGTGACCTGGCATGCATATGTGAGCTTGGCCAGCTTTCTGGATGGACAGAGCTATGTACTGGAATGAAGGGCTCTAAGAAGCTAAACTGGGAAGCCCAGAGGCATAAGGCTATGATTTGAGATAACCTGCATTCTATTCCTGGAGCCGCTGGTGCGGACTTGCAGAAGTCACGTGGTGTCCATGTTTCATGTGAATTCTAGAAGTACCTACTATGGTTTTTGTAGGAAATGGATGTCAGCAAATGCAAATCCTTAACAGAGATCTCTAATATGCTTAGGCAAGGCTGGCACCCAGAAATTCTGTCAGGCCATCCCCGTTGATGTAACCTATTATGCCCTCTGTTATTTATTTGTGTACACAAGCATGTATGTTGTAGTGCATGTGTGTCGGAGAACAACGTTCTGGTGACAGTTTTCTCCTCGTACCATATGGGCTCCAAGGGTTGAACTCTGGTCATCAGGCATGGTGACAAGCGCCATCAGCCACTGAGCCATTTCACTGTCTCCCCTGTTGTGTGTTCTTGACAACTTCCTGTAATACCCAAGCCTTGCTCTTAGATACAGTATCAACTGATCTGATTTAAGGTGCTGAGAAGGTTGGGATGGAATGAACACTTGAAAGAGGGTGGATTCGGTGGGAGGCAGTGTGAGGTGCTTGTCTGACTGATTCAGTATGCGCTAACTAGGGCGGTCATGGCCAGGGTCAGCCATGTTGCAGAATCAGATCCAAATAGCTAGTTGGGGGTGTGTATGGTTTATATTTGCGCTTCTGACCAATTGTTCCGTCCCCTGGCCAGCAGATAGGTCAAGCATGTCCACTTGAGGATTTTTTGTTATCTTTAATGTTTTATTTTTGTTTATCAGGTATTTCTACTTTATCCCAAGAAGATGTGCCAGAAAAAGCAACTTGTTCTGCCTTAAAAGCAGCCCTTGAACACTTCACTAGAGACCTGAAAAGAAAATTTGAGGTATCAGTCCATGAAGGCAGGAAATGTGGAATGAGCCAGGAAAACACTGCATGACCTCACCGATATATGTAATATCTACAAAAGTCGGACAAGAAGGCAGAGCAGAGGGGTGGGTAGCAGGGGCCAGGGAGAAGAAGGGAATGGACAGGTACTGGTCAACAGGCACAGATGGACTGAGCGATCTCTCCAGTCCCATGCTTTCAGCTTGTCAACTGTAACTCTCAACAAAGTTGGGCAAAGAGGCCACTGAAAGAAAACTCAGCTCGTTCGGAATTTAAAGTACCAAGTTCCTTTCATTCTTCTGGAGTACAGTACCCTTCGTGTATGAAGGTCTCCCGAGTGTGAGGCGGGGCATTCATCTTGGCTGTGGTCACTGATTTTTATCGCCACTCTGAATTGTAATTTGTATTGAAAAGACTACTCTCCAGTGAGACCAAATGTTCTTGGCTTGGTTTCACGGGTGGCATTCTCAGAAGGCACTGATTTGGCCACAGTAACAAGTGAAGGAGGGAACCATGTGTGGGAGAGCAGACTCTAAGACCCAGGGAGAGGGGATGGAGGGTATCTGTTTAGTAACAGCAGATCTTTGAGACACTGGGCATACAAGCCACCTCAGCCTTGTCTGTGAGATGCATATCACAGCAATTTCAGGCTCCTCTGACCTCGTCTTATTATTTGAAAGTCCTCAATGACTTCTGTATCAGCACATTTGTGAAAAATATTGTACCCAGCCAACATTTCTCTAATTAACTCAGGAGACCTCCAGAATCCTGCTCTCTGCAATAAGCCAATGTATAATGGACACATTATACACATTATATCAATAGTATGAATTTAATATTGTATCAATAGTATGAATACTATATATATATATATATTATGAATACATTGTATCAATAGCATGAACATAGATTTTCCCAGTTTCTCTTGTTCTTTATCATACCAAACCAGAGGCGAGCCTGAAATGGACACAGAATGATGCTTTACTGAGGTCTCTCAGCAGGAATGTTTCCCTTGAACATTGCTGTGTGCCAGTGGCATCTGTCTAACACAGTAAACACACAGCTAACTTATGTACCATGTTTACCCCAGATGTGATTATTTTGGTTTTTTGTGTTATGGCTTTAGCTCAAACAGAAGGAGATTCCACTTTCTTCGGAGAAGGCAAAGGAAGTGCCAGGCTGCCTAGTCAGACTTTGGAACCAGATTTACACGTTCAGGTAAATATGGATCGAAAAGCAGAGTCATGGGAGTGAAGCAACATTTATCTCATGACTATTATGTGTGGGGGGAGAGGGGGCTAAGGAGATACAGTGTGAGTGAGGGATGTGAGGCTTCCTGTGTATTTTAACCTTCATGGTGTCTTGTTTTCCATCTATAAGACAAGAGCTAGAGCTCAACATTCTCCTCCAGCCTCCAGTTTGTGTCTACCAGTGAACAATCCTGAAACAGGCTTCTTTAGAAACGATAATCCACTTGTGAAGACAGGGCAGTCCCAGGGAGCTGTGTGAAAACAGACGAAAGTGTGATACGTCCACCCCTCTGACTGCCATCCAACCTTGGGAAGAAATTTATGTTTTTAGTTAAAATACACCACTTTCTCCTTCCCTTTCCACCCTCGGGCCCCTCTCTATGCCAAGCCTCTCTCAAATGGATAGCCTCTTTTTCTTGGATTATTGTTGTTACACACACACGCACACGCACACGCACACGTACACGTGCACACAGGCTAAACATGGATGAACCTTGTAAACATCATCCTAAGAGAAAGAAGCCAGGTCCTAGAGGGTAAATAGCATGGCTCCACTTAAATGAGAGGCACCTGCTGGACTGAGTCAAAATTATGGAGACAGAAAACACCAGAGGGGACCAGGGAGAGGCTGTTATTGTTTAATTGGTGCAGATCGTTTTTCTCACGATAAGAAAACTTTGTACATGTGTAATGGTGAGGCCGTAGAACACCAAGAATGAACCTAGTGCCTCGAAGTGCCCTCTTAAACATGATTAGAAGGGTAAATGTTATGTTGTGCTGTAATAAGAAGATATAATACATCTTCTTATGTATCACCCTTATGACTGAGTCAGTAGCGAGTGCCAAGATGCCTACATTTCAGAGAAGTGGAGAAGGAAGGAGGCGTAGTGGTGAATTTCTGTGTAATTCGTCCATTCAGAACAACTGCTATGGAGGCACTTTTTGAATGAGATCTTGGGAACAAAAATTTGAGTGGCATGGAAAGAACTTAGAGATTGTTCCATAGTGGAGAGAATGGCATGAAGTGTGTGTGTGTGTGTGTGTGTGTGTGTGTGTGTGTGTGTGTGTACGTACATGTACATTTGCTTAGCTGAAATAGAAACGTTCTTGGGATTAAAATGCATTATTTGAATAAGAATAATTTTCACATATACAATGCAATGGTCAGACAAAGCCACAGAGGGCTCTGGATTTTGGATCCTGCTGTATTTTAAGGGCCTTACCCTCAGCTGCATAGCCACTCAGCTAACACACACGGAACAATAATGCCAGGTGCTCACTCCATGCTCAGTGTGGGAAAGCCAGCTGTGAGAGCCAACTGTGAGGGCCAGCTGTGAGGTAGCTTTCTGATTATTAACAGATACCTGAGGTATCCAGGCATGGCGGCCCATGCCTGTAATTCCAGCACTTCAGAGGCTGAGGCAGGAGAGTTGCCATGGTTTTGGGCCAGTCTGTGATATGTAATGAGTTTCAGATCAGTCCGAGATTGTAGAGTGAGACCCTGTTGCCATAAAACTAGGTTCCATGTGTATGCACATATTTTGACTCATGGTTTCTGAGGATTTAGTCTGTGATCAGTTGGCCCTGTCGCTCTCGGCTCTGTGGTAAGGGAAGGTATCATGACAAGAATGAGAAGCAGAGAAAACTGTTCAACTGACAGCTAGGAAATCAAAACAAGAGCCCCATATCTCCGAGGCACCTTTGGGGCATGCTCATAATGGTCTAAACCTCCCACCAGGCCCTACCTCCATCACTTTCTAATACTGCCCTGGGACAAAGATTTTTAACATTCTATGTCCAAATGAGCAGAAAGCCACAGGGGCTGTGTTTATATGGAGCATCAGGCCTAAAGGAAAAGGGAGACAGTATGCCAAAGAATGAGACATTTATAGGATGGTTAGACACAGAATGGTGACTCTGGAAAATGTGAAGCTAAAACACAGAGGTAGGAAAAGTATGTGAACCTACCCGAGCACAGCCCTCTCAGCAGCCCAAGGCCAGACGGGAAAGCAAGCAGAAGGCAGGGGAGGGGCCATCCAGTCTCCTTCCTGGGGCCATCTGTCCTGTATTATGAAGTTAATGATGACATTGTGGCTCCCTCTGGGCTGCTCTCAGGGGCTAAGTGAGAGTCACTGAACATGAAAAGGTGGGAAGAGAAGGTGCCAACGTGTTTTTAAGGCAAGACTGTGTGGTGAACAGGTTCTCTTGGGAACTTGAGAACACCTAATTGGTTCCGATGAAGTCTGTTGCGTTTGTGTTTGGCAGGCTGAACAAGCTGGAGAGCTTTCACAGTTCTGTTCTTCAGGAGCTGAGCAACTTGGAGAAAGATCTTCAGGCTCTCAAATACCTCGAAGAGGATGCTGTGGCAAGTTCCTTTGTCCCGTCTCTGGGAATAAAGACGACCTTTTCTATGAAAATAAAAGGAAACATGGAGTGTTTAGTCAAAATCTTTGTTCCATTTCAGGAGTTTTGGGAGAAGCAGTCGGCCAACTTACAATCGTTCTGTGATCAGCAAGCACTGAGGTACCTTAAAAACTGTTCTTTCTAGAAGTATCTTTTGTTGTTTGTTTGTTAGAGTCAGGGTTTCTGTACGGAGCCCTGGCTGTCCTGGAACTCACTATGTGTTCCAAGCTGGCCTCGAACTCATAGAGATCCACCGCCTTTGTTTCCCGTGTCCTGGGATAAAAAGGGCATGCACTACATCTGGCTCATTATGACATTTCAAAAACGTAACATTTTTATTTATGATATGTGTATCATGATGAAGGACAAAGCTTGTATGCCACCACACACATTTAGAGGTTAGGGAATGATTTTGTGGGGTCAGTTCTCCCACCTTTAAATGGGTTCCAGGGATCAAACTCAGGTTGTCAGGCTTGTATAACAAGCATCCTTATTCACTGGATCACCTTGTGGCCCCAAAATGACATTTTCACGTACATATAGAACACACTTGGCTCATATTTCCTCCTGTTACATTTCTTGACCCCCATCCTGTTCCTGCTGATCCCCGCCTCAGTTCCTAGTTTCCCTTCTACTTCCATGTCTCTGTACAGGAACATGGGTGAGGGGCTCACAGGGGCACAGACAGCTGGTCAGTGACCATACCACTGTCTCTCCTCATCTTGTACCTGCTTCTGAGTCCTGGGGCAGCTAGGACAGACCACTTCATGGTGGCGCGGTTGCGGTAGTGGGAAAAGCAAATAACGTGTTAAGGTTACCTCCACTGTTATCAAAGTTTTGACCTCACAGGACCCCTGGCTCCTTATGGGCTCCTCACCCCACACTTTGAGAGTAGCTGATAGAAAGCAACTCTGCTCTAAGTCTCAGAGAAGTCTTCTAAAACATGAAAGGCTCATTCATTTCAGTTATCCCCCACTCCCAGCTTAAACCGCTCTTCAGTTAGCATTGTTCGATAGTAATTACTGTTTACATTTATATCCCCTTGATTCAGGCCCTTGGGGAGTTTGGAATGCCTTAGGGAACAGCTCTCTCTTCCAAATGTATTCCTTAAGCTTTTGCTTTTATTCTCTTTTCTTTCTAAGGCAAAATAAACAAACAAACAAAAAACAAAAACAAAAAACAAAAAACAAAACCCTGCCCCCTGGTTTGCAAATGGCAGACAAGGATGCTGGCTTTTAGCTCACACTGAGTGATGGCTGAGCTCACTGCTCTGGGCTGGGTGCTCAATGTTTAGTATCCCTTCAGGAGGTTAGGTAGCTCGGTCAAGATCACACAGGTATCCAGTGTCCACTTCCCCCTTGAGGTGTCATCTCAATAATAGCGTTCTCTTTCCCTGGGGATATACCAAGGACCCCTCAAACTAGATTTTTGACCTCTAGCCTACAGCTTCAAGGAGTTAAGGATTTGAGTGGTGACTGTAGAATGCCTCATATGTGTGCACTAGTGATACTGGAGAGACAATTCCTAAAATAGACCCAAGGGGAAATATAAATGAACCTTTTATGTTGATAAAAGATAGTGACTGGCTACTGCGCTAAGAAGGCACTGGGCAGTACTCACTCATAGGAGGATGCTAGATGTGGAACAAGGATGACTGGACTGCTACTCACATCACCAGTGAGGAAAACGGGACCCCAAAAAAAGACACGGAGAAATGGACGAGATCTACATGAACAGCCTGGTCATGAGTGGGAACAATGAAGGGCGACGGTCGAGGGAAAGAGAGTGGGAGATCCTAGCTGGATCAAGAAAAGAGAGGGAGAACAAGGAATAGGAAACCATGGTAAATGAAGACCACATGAGAAGGTGAGAAGGGGAGGAAGCAGAGAGCTAGGGAGGCCCACGGAGATCCACAAAGATACCCCCGCAAAAGACTGCTGGCAATGGTAGCGAGACGGCAGGAACTGACCTACTCTGGTGATGGGATGGCCAGACACCCTGATAGTTGTGCCATAAACCCCATCCAAGGACTGAGGAATCTGAATGCAGACATCCACAGCTGGGCCCCTGGTGGAACACTGGGAGTCTAATTAGTGAGAAAGAAGAGGGTTTATATGAGCGAGAATTGTTGAAGCCAAGGTTGGATAAAGCACCGGGACAAATAACCAAATGAATGGAAGCACAGGATCTATGAACCAAAGGCTGAGGGGCCCCCAACTGGATCAGGCCCCCTGAATGCGTGAGACAGTCATTTGGCTTGATCTGTTTGGGAGGCAGCTGTGCCTGGGCTCGTTGCATGAGTTGGCTGTTTGAATCCTGGGACTTATGCAGGGACACTTGGCTCAGTCTGGGAGGGGGGGAATGGACCTGCCTGGACTGAGTCTACCAGGTCGACCCCGGTCCTTGGGGGAGACCTTGATCTGGAGGAGGTGGGAATGGGGGGTGGGCTGGGGGGAGGGGGGGCGAGAGGGGGAGAACAGGGGAATCTGTGGCTATTATGTTGAACTGAATGGTGTTGTAAAATAATAATAATAATAATAATAATAATAATAATAATAAAAAGATAGTGACTGGGTTGTCACAAACCCTCCTCAGCCGTTGTCATGTAGCAATCCACTCTGTGATACATACACAGATACATGTTCTTGTTTCTAACGTGCCTGATATGAATGTAATAAGTGATGGATCTATTTCTTCCAGGTTTAGCTCAACTCAGTCTTCATAAGGAAAGTCAAAGCCTGGCTTTATGACTGCACCCCTCAGGTAGGTACAGAAATGGACATTGTTCAGTCCTTGTGAATCAGGCACTGAAGAACCCTGATGCTTTCTACAACCTTTCTGCTCTGAGCTTCCTCCGACCCTACGATTAGGCCCTTGGGTCAGTCATTCAGCCTTTATAATCGAGTGCCTGCCGCAATCTATCAAATGCCGCACTAAGCATGGAGATACAGCGGCAGATTAGCGTGCAGACACATTCCTACCATATCAAAAAGGTTCTAAGCCAGTGAGATGGCTCAGTAGGTAAAGGCATTTGCCCCTGAGCCTGAAAACCTGAGTTCAATCCCTGGAACCCACATGGTGGAATGAAAGACTCCTGAAAATTGTTCTCCAGCCTCTGTATATGTTACACACGCGCACACACACACACACACACACACACACACACACACACACACACACACACAAACCCATAAAATTTAAAACAATAACAACATGGGATTAGAGAGATGGCTCAATGGTTAAGAGCGCTAACTGCTTTCCAGAGAATCCAGGTTCAATCCCAGCACCCACATGGAGGCTCACAACCATTTGTGTCTCCAGTCTCAGGATCTGATTCCTCCTTCTGGACTCCTTGGACACTGCACACATGTGGTGTTCAGACATACATGCAAGCAAAAACTCATACATAAAAATATCACGTAATAAGTTCATCTACAAAATAGCTGTGTTCGGATAAGTGCATTGAATGTGGTCAGTCACAGGATGTGGAGTATAGTCCTTAGTCGCTTCTTTTGCCCAAGCATGCTGATTGGCTCCCCATCTGGTTTCCACTCTCTCTGCTTTCTTACTAACAGTTAAGCATAGAACTGAGGGCCGTGTTTAAGATTGTGGCTTCCCAGAATACCAGAGCCATGGACGTGGCTCTCCAAAAGGAGTGACGATCCTGTTGACTGTGAGTTCCAAGGGCCCAAGAGGTACGATGCTTGTGCCTCGATTAATCACTATTCTCCATTTCCTTTTCCAACAGGTACAAATAGCCTGAGATGGGAGATATGGAGATGCAGTCTGTGGTGCCTTGGCCCAAGAGCTGTCCTTCAGAGCTATGCTCAGCAGCATACAGCCCTTAGCAGGTGCTGAGTTAGGGCGGGTTCACATCGTGTACCATATTACCCATTTGTTCATTGAAACTAAGCTTCTTATTCAAACATGGTCCAGTAATAGAAAAACCCAAGATGTTCAGCAATTTCAAGTGTCTACTTTTCAATTTAAAAAGAGTAAACTTTATTTTAATTTGAGAAATGCCTTCAAGTTTTACAGGAACTAGAACTTCAGCAGCATCAGCATAGGGCTTATTTCATAAAGGAAAAATCACCTAGAAACAGAATTGGATGAGAACAGTTTGACATGAAATTATAAGGGGAACACACTAGGCTCTTCAGATATTTCCACGTCTCTAGCCCTCTACCAAAGCATGTGCTCAGTAGAGGAGAAATATTCCTCCTGAGATCACTACTAAGTCTCCATTGAAGTTTGTCTGTAGAGGGCTGCTTGTACAGTGGGGCATTGAGTTTATTTTAAAGAAATTAAACAAAGCCCATATAATCTAAAGCCACTCACAATGTCAGATGGCTTATGACTGGATCAGTAGAGAGTGCATTGAACAGTATGTTCTCAATATAAAGTAGTTATGTTATAGGGACCATATTAATTTGTAGTTTTTTTCTAATACAAATGTATGTGATCCTAATTGAATTGTTGAGTATTTTTTCTTTATAACTTTTAATGAAGTATGCTTTACTGCATTTAGTGCCATAAGGTTTTGCTTATAAGAGTACATGTTTTTTTAAATAAATTTATTTATTTACTTATTGATTTTACAACCTGGCTGCAGTTTCCCCTCTTCTCCTCCCAGTCCCTCTCCTCTACCTTCCCTCTGTCCCCCGCCCCCCCAATCCACTCCTCTTCCATTTCTGTTTAGGAAAGGGCAGGTCTCCCATGAGCATCAACAAAACATGGCATATCAAGTTGCAGTAAGACTAAGCACCTCCCATGTATTAAGGTTGGGCAAGGTGACCCAGTATGAGGAGTAGGGTCCCAAAAGCCAGTAAAAGAGTCATAGGCAGCCCCTGTTCCCACTGTTAGGAGTCCCACAAGAGGACCAAACTACACAACTGTAATATATTTACAGAGTGCCTAGGTCAGTCCCATGTAGGCTCTCTGGTTGTTGGTTCAGACTCTGTGAGACCCTATGAGTCCAGGTGAGTTGGTTCTGTGAGTTTTCTTGTGGTGTCCTTGACTCCTCTGGCTCCTACAATCCTTTCTTCCTTTCTTCTGCAGGATTCCCAGAGCTCTGCCTAATGTTTGGTTGTGGGTCTGCATCTGTTTCCATCAGTTACTGGATGAAACCTGATGACAATTGGGCTAGGCACCAATCTAAGTGTATAACAGAATATTGTTAGGCATCATTACATTGACATTTTCCCCCTCCAATCATGTTTGGTTCTATCCTAGGTCTCTGGGTCATCCAGCCTGCAGGTCCTGGTATTCCAGGTGGGCTGGATTCTCCTGGCATGGGTTTTAGGCTAGACAGGTTATTCATTGGCCACTTATCTCTAGGCCACCCTTATCCCAGCACATCCCATAGGCAGGAAAGACTGTAGATCAAAGGTTATGTGGCTGGGTTGATTTCTCACTTGCTCTACTTGAAGTCTTGCCTGGTTACAGGAGATGGACAGTTCAGGTCAAGTATCCACTATTGATAGGAGTCTTAGCTGGAGTCATCCTTGTAGACTCCTGGGAGATTCCTTTGTGCCAGTTTTTTACCTAACACCAACCCCCCCCCCATCCAGTAGTCTCTTTTAGTAATCTCCCCACCCCAACCTGATGGCTCATGTTCCCATCCCCACCTGTGCTCAGTCCATTCACAAAATCTCTTCTATTTCCCCTTCCCAGGGAGATCTGGGTTCCCCACCCCCATAAACCCCTCTTATTACCTAGTCTCTCTGGGTCTGTGGATTGTAGCATAGTTATCCTTTGTTTTACAGCTGATGTCCACTTATGAGTAAGTAGATACCATGCTTATCTTTTTCGGTCTGGAATAACTCACTCAGGATGATTTTTTCTAGTTCCATCCATTTGCCTTCAAATTTCCCGGTGTCCTTGTTTTTAATATCTGAGTAATACTCCATTGTGTAAATGTACCACATTTATTTATTCCTTGGTTGAGGGTTGTGTAGGTTGTTTCCAGGTTCTGGCTATTACACATAAAGCTTCTATGAACATAATTGAGCAACTGTCCTTGTGGTATGAATGAGCATCCTTTGGGTATATGCCCAAGAGTGGTATAGCTGGGCCTTGAGGTAGACTGATTCCTAGTTTTCTAAGAAACTGCCACATGAACTTCCAAAGTGGCTGTACAAGTTTGCACTCCCACCAGCAATGCAGGAGTGTTCCTCTTGCTCCACATCCTCTGCAGCATAAGTTGTTGTCAGTGTTTTTGATCTCAGCCATTCTGACAGGTGTAAGGTGGAATCTCACAGTCGTTTTGATTTGCATTTCCTTGATGGCTAAGGATGTTGAACATCTCCTTAAATATTTCTCAGTCATTGAGAATTCTCTGTTTAGATCTATACCCCATATTAAAGTTGAATTATTTGGTTTGTTGATATCTAGTTTCTTGATTTTTTTTTTAAAATATATTTTGGAAATCAGCCCTCTGTTGGATTTGGGGTTGGTGAAGATCTTTTCCCATTCTGTAGGCTGCTGTTTTGTCCTATTGATGGCATCCTTTGCCTTACAGAAATTTTTTAGTTTCGTGAGGTCCCATTTATTAAGGAGCACATATATGTTTAGGTACAGAAAATGAATGAGTAGTGTGCATGCATGTGTGTGCACATGCACACACATACAATTAAAAATAAAATATTTCAAAAAAGATCAATTAATGAGGTTAACTGCTCTTACTTCATTTAGGCACATCCAGTTCAAGGCTCATCACTTCTGATGACAATATTTTGTGGGTTTCACTGCTATTAGTGATAGACACCTAGAGAGTACATGTGACTTCCTTTAAGTGGGGGACACACATTTGAACACTATTTTCTAGAAAACCCTTGAGTTTAGCTTATATGGAAGAAGCTAGGATGCATAGTGATATGTGACTGTAGATGGTAAGGACTTTTCTGGGGGCTGGGGTCAAAGGGCATCCAGATGACTCCTTATATGTGCCACTCACTGTCAGATAACTGACACTGGCAAAGTCACAAGGAAAGGTCATTTTCACTGGGTCATCAAGAGTGGCTGCCTGCCGTTTTGTTCTATAGACAGTTTCCTTTGCCTCACAGAAACTTTCCAGTTTCATGAGGTCTCATTTCTTAGGAGTTGATCTTAGTGTCTGTGCTATTAGTGTCCTGTTCAGAAAGTTGTCCCCGTGCCAATGTGCTCAAGACTATTTCCCACTTTCTCTTCTATCACGTTCAGTGTATACATATAATTTCCTATCATCTTCTTGACTTTGTATTATTTGGTGTTTTCTATTCCTCTTTTGCTTAACTGTTATTCAAGAGTGGTTCATTCTTCTCTGAGACCCCATGGATGTGTTTGTGTCTCTCCTCAGTAAAAAGTTCCTTCAAGTATCTTCAGTATACAGCTGGCTTAGTGGTCCTAAATTCCTTCAGCCTACTTTTTTTATGGAAAGTCTTTCTCCTTCAATTATGACTGATAGCTTTGCTGGGTATAGTAGTCTGTACTGGCAGTTGTTGTCTTTCAAAACTTGAAAAGCATCGTTCCGTGAGCCTCTCAGCTTCTGCATCATCCCGAGAGCCTCCCCGTTCCTGCATCATCCCAAGCCTTGCAGACCACTGCAGCTTTCCTAGCTTCTGTTGAGAGTCTGTGGTCACTCTGACAGGCCTGCCTCTGTCATGTGAACTGCTGCTTCCCTTGATTACTCTACTCTCTTTCTCAGTATTTAAGCGAGTTAATTATGACATGAAGAGGGAAGCCCTTTCCTGGTCTTGTCTGTCTCTGTTCTAAATACCTCCAGTGTCTACACAGGTGGTTTTTGTTGTTGTTTTGTTTGCCTAATTTAAGGAAATTTCTGCTGTGGCTTCAATTTAAAATGCTTGCTGTTCCTTTAGAAGGGAATTCACTTTCTTTTATGCCCATGATGTGGTTATTGAAGAGTATCCTGTGTGGCGTACAAGTTCTGTCCATGCCTCTTGACCAATTAATCTCTGTCTTTATTGGAATGTCCCAAATCCCCACCTTGTCTTCAAGTCCATCTGTTTTATCCTCCTCTTGATCTATCTTATTGGTGAAGCTTTATACACAATTTTTATTTGACTTGTTTTCACTATTTCCATTTGGTTCCCAGCTTTTTTTTTTTTTTTTTTTTGAGTTCCTCTTTCCTATCATATACTAGCCTTCCTATTTCATTCAGTGTCATGTTTTCTTGGGGTACTTTTAAGAGTTTTTTTTTCTTTGTATTATTTGAATATATTTATAATCCTTATTTTAAGTTCTTTTTCTGGGATTCCATCTAACTCATTAGCATTGGAGGCCATTACTATAGGATTAATTTTGGAAGGAGCTGGATTTCCTTGATATTTTTTTTTTATTTTTGTATTTTTGTGAAGGGAGCTGGGTCATTTGTTGAATTTATTATGTTTTATTATTTTGACTGATTTTTATTCTTTCAGAGCAAATATTTAAACTGTTGGCAATATACTAGGTTATTGTTATCCCTGGAGAGATAGTAGGAAGAGGCAGTGGAACTTGTGGGCCCACTGAACTCACCTGAGCGATGGGTGGGACTAGAACCTCCTGGGTACTCTGTTCTTCCTGGTGATGGGTGGAAATGATATGTTTTGGACACATTAGCCTCACAGGGTGACTGACAGGGCTGTGCTCTTCCAGGCAATGGTATGTGGTAGGGAATCAAGTCCTGAAGATACACTAACAGCACTGGGGCAATGGCTGAGACTTAAGCTCTCTGGATACACTGTGTTTATCATAGTGCTTTGAGGCTGCAGCCTCTTGGACACACCTCGTTGGGTTGACTCATGGTGTAGGGAGCTTCTTGGGCAGGCAGGACTGGAGACATACAGATGTGCAGCCCTTACCTGGGTGACAGGTGGGGCTTAACTTTCTCAGGCATGGAGTCTCCTTGGTACAATGGGCAAGTGAATGGGTGACCCCAACATAAGCTGTATCACTGAAAAGTTGCACCCTGCCATGGGTGGTTACAACCCCATAGCTACATAGATGGAGTCCCCAGGAATCTTGTGATATAAAATTCCTTCCTTGTTTGTTTGAATTCCTCAACTACTAAAACCAAGTTCAGCATTAATTCCTTCTGGAATGTTGTCTTGGTGTAAACCATTTCTAAGTTTTAGAACTAAATGGTCTCTCCTAGACTATGACTCTAAGGGCACATATTCATCTGGATCATTCTGTAGCTCTAGTACACCACACAGCACTATACAGCATAGATTTGAGAAAATATTTTACTGAATATGAAATTTCAGAGTTAATCCATTAATCTAAGTCTAACCTGGGTGTAACACAAATTCTAAAATTGTCTTTCAATAATAATAATAATAATAATAATAATAATAATAATAATAATAATAATAAAAACCCAGAGCCTGATATTGAGGCGAAAGCTGAAAGACCAAGGAAGCAGAGTAAGCCACAGCCACCACCTCTTACCTGACCAACTCCTCAGCCTGAAAGAGCTCCAGCCAAAAGGGCTTCAGGTGAAAAAGCCTCTAGTTCTTTTCTCCTCA